CAGACCAAGCGGGGCGGGGCGGGGTGGGGAGGGGCAAGCAGGCAGGCATGCATGTCTGTCTGCCCGTCCGTCTGCCCGGCTGTCTGCCGGCCGCGCAGCTGTTCGCAGAGTGCAGTGCCCCGCGCAGAAGGGGCGCCTGCCCAGCAGCCTGCCCTGGGCCCAACATTCACTCACTCATTACTATGGACCAGGTGAATGCCATTTTCTTCAGCTTTTCAAATCTCCCTCTACACACTTTCCTAAATTGATAGCAGTAGTGGCCCAAGCCACGGACTGGCGGTCTGGATGCCCTTTGCCTTCAAGGGGCCCCTAAAGACACCTTTTCCTCTAGGGCACGGTCGGGGTTCGTCGAATTCCCAACCGGGGTCAGTCCGTGGCTGGACACAGTGTCCCCGTTCTCACACAAACGCGACCCCTTGGCAGGGGCTTCAGAAACAACATCTGCGCAAGGGATTTAACCCACTCCAGCTCGGGATTAAAGCGCACTCCAGATGCCCGCACATGCAGCTGCAGGCCGGCCAGAGGCGAGCCAAGCCTTGCTGCTGCTGCTGCTGCTGCCCGCTGCATGGGAGCGACTTGTGCCAACTATAAAACGGAGTTCGGGGAAGCGATCAGGCGGGGCGTGGTGGCGGGGCGCACATGGGGAGGCCCTCGGCCGGCCTGTCCGTGCCGACGCACTAATGCCCCCCGGGCCGGCCGCCAGGGGCAGTAGCCTGCGGCTGAAAAAAATGTGCATATGCCTAACGTCGAGTTAGGTTTAAATCAATGACAACGTTTCGGTGGAAGAACACGAGTAGGATCAGCACGTCAGCCCCACACCTAAGACCTAAGACTACTTAAGTTTTGTGCTGTGGGTAACTTTTCAATAAATCCCGTACTTTTACTAAATATTTTCTTAGTATTGTAATTACGGTAAAAGGAAAACGTTCAGTAATGCTGGAAACAATATAAGTAAGACCCAAGAATTCCTTGACTAGTACAACTCCTTAAAGTGCCGGGCGGGAGAGATGAAGGAGGTGCCACAGAGGTCGCCGCGAGCGCGAGCCCCTGACGATGCCGTACCGCACGCCACGCGTGCGTGCGGGTTGCCCTGCTCCCGCCCGCTAGGCGCCGCGGTAGGCCGGGCCGCCGCGCGCGCGTGTCCGGCGGTGCAGCCTGCCGTCCGGGGGTCCCCGGCGGGTAGCCGGATAGCGGGTCACGCGGCGCGGCCGGGCCTGGCAGGCTGGCAGGCTGGCAGGCCGCCGCTGCGCGCCGTGCGTGCCGAGCGTGGCGGCCGCAGCCTTGGGCAGCTCGCCCCGGCCGCGGCGCTGGTAGCCCTGGGCAGCGCGGCCCACCCGGCCCGGTCCAAACGGCCGCAGGAAGTCGCGCAGAGATAGGGCCATCGGGATCAGGATGTGCATGGCGCGGCGCGGCCGTGTGCGTATATAGGGGGATAGGGTATACTTTCGCCCTGAACAGAGGACCAATTAAAATAGCGGACGGTGGCGGCGCGTAGTGCGAGCCGCGAGGCTGCAGCGGCGGCCGCTCCACTGCACTGGCGGCACCGGGCCGGGCGCACCACCACCCGGGGAATGCAGAGAGGTTCACAAAGCACGGGCTGTTGTCACCCGGCGGGCCTCTAGGCTGGCCGCGCCAGGCCGGGCGGGGTGAAACGCACAATGCGGCAGCGGGCCGCGCACGCCCCGCCCCGCCGCGTTGACCACCGTAAGCCCAGCCGCGGGTCCTTCCAGGCCCCGGGCACCGCGCCCGTGCCGGGGCGGGGCGGGGCGAGGCGGGCGGCAAGTCGCGTGCCATACCATGCCACACCCAGCGCCCCGCTGCACCCGCCCCGTCCCGACACACCGCTCGCAGACTACTAACAAACGCCGGGCACATCATGCCTTTTCACTTCTGGGGGCCTCAAACGCGTGCACGTACCCGCGCGTACGCACACGCACGTACAAACACAGTCGGATGCGTACACACACACACACACACACACACATACACAGTGGAAGAAAGCCGAGCGCGCGTGCGTGCCGGCGTGTAAGTGTGTGCACCACACCCGGCCAAAGGGGCTGAAAGAAAGAGGCATAATGAAAGCCAACACTCGCCAGTCACACACGAGTAGGTAGGAGCGCATTCTCTCTGGCCCGCAGTTGTGAGTGTATGTGTGTACGAGCGTGTCTGTGTGTGTGTGTGTGTGTGTGCGTGCCAAGAAGAGTCGCCTGGCTTGGAATACCAAGAGCAGCAAGTTTTCTGTTTGGCACACATAAAATTAGCCCCGTGTTCTCGCGAGAGACGTCTCCTCCGTTTGAGAGCCGAGGCGCACTAACCCCCTTCCCTTCCCCCTTCTCCGATTCTCGCGCTGACACAGGGCCAACGCCCTTCGCGGTCCGCCCCCCCCCCCACTTCTCCCCGCCAGGGGCCCCTGCTGTCGATGTCCCCGCTACGCCAGGCTACGCCACGCCACGCAGCCACGCCCCTGTCGACCTGTAAGGTTGACGGGCCTTACCGCCGCGCCGGGCCGTATGAGACCGGTACAGTACACATGCCGCTAAAAGCGCCGGCGGGGC